CGCCGTGAGTGGGGTGGCCCTGCCTCACCCCCACGCAAGGCCGAGTGCCCGCCCCTTCTGGCCCCACCCCCGTGGCTCCCTCAGCTCCTCCCTTCCTGCGAAGGCGGAGACCCTCCTGTCCACCCAGTGACGGGTGCCGAGGCCCTGCCACCACACCCGGACTGGTGGGTGATGGTGGGGGTAAGATTCTGTACTGGTAACACCAACTTTAGTGACACCACTGCCTTGGCAGCCACTCCCACAGTGGTGCCTGCTCCCCTGTCGCCACCACCGCCATCGCTGTCACTGCAGACCCTGGGGTCACTGTGGTGTCACCCCTTCTGACAGTGTCAGGGGGTGCGACCCACATCTTCTGCACTCCCCTAGTGACACCACTGCCCCCAAATGTCTTTTAATTTGTGTTTTCAAACCAGGATCCAATTAAAGCACATGCATTGTATTTGGTTATGTCACATAAGGCACTCTTACTCTAGATGTGGCTCTCCAGTGGGTCACTGGGGTTGGTGTCACCTAGTGCAGTAACTTATAGTGCTGCCCCTCATGCTAATTCCCACAGTATTGTAGCTACAACACCAGAAAATCTGACAAAATCAGCAGCTACAAAAACACTGGCAGCGAGGAAAACAACAGCCTGTGCCTACAGCACGCGCAGATGAAACCACGTGATTCGAAGCATCACTGTAGCTGGGTAATAATGACAGCTCTGACTGGAGCCCATTAGAAGGTTCAGAAAGTGAATTAGCACAGAGTTTTAGCCTTTTAGGTATATTGATACCTGTAAACTGGGATTATGAGAAACGTTTTTGTTGTTATAACTAACTACAGGGATATTTTTATAAAAAAAATAAATTTCTGCTGAAACACTGCACAGAAATTTTATAGACAGTCATTTTGGTGTCACCCCCTCTGACAGTGTCACCCAGTGCAGTCTGCACGCCCTGCAACCCCCTAGTGACGTCACTGAGATTAGAATCGTGGCTCTGCCACTTACTAGCTGTGTGACCCTCCTCATGTTGCTTGGCCTCACTTATCTTAGGTTTCCTGCTGTGAGGATAATGGTGCCTTTTCCTTACAGCATTTTTATACAGAGACTTGCTTAATAAAGGTTGACTGTTTCTACTTTTACTTACATGCTTTTGCTGCTGATAAAGGTTGAACCACTGATTACAAGTAGGGAACAAATATTTCCTAATCTTGAAATGATAGTGTCATACAGTAGTTAGCTTCTTTAACATTAATGTATTAAAAGTTACAATATAAGTGTTGGAAAGACCAAGCCTCTCTAGAAAACATGGCTCCACTCTACAGCCTCTACAATAAATATTCTTACAGCTTCTGGCAATGAAATCAGAGAACCATAACTGTACTCTGTTTTGTAATTAAATGATTTGTAAAAAGGGACATTGTGTTTTTGACTGTGATGCATGGAACTTTAGGTGTCACATAACAGGGCCTGATTGTTAGAATTATTAATTGTTAATTCCTTTAAAAGCAGATTACTTTTTTTTCCCCTCTCACTGAGCTCATCTCTGGTATTTTACCAGACTTTACTAAAGCATCTACAACTGGTTTAGGAAATTCGTCTAAACAATTCTTCAGTGCTCTCTCAATTTAGTGTGCACTGATTCTTACAGAGATTTATTCAGATGCTTTTTTCAAAAGCTTAAACCTCAGGGTCTACTTCTATCAGTTCTACCAGCAACTGTCCACATCACTGTTTCCCAAACCTTTTTTCTTCTTTACATGGTTCTCTTCTAGAGAACCTTTTCCCAGGAACTAATCGCCAGTCTACAGTGTTCATAGAAGTGACCCAGCTCAACCGGACGTACATTAATAAATAAATAAATCAGCGGTTCTTCAGTAAGACCATGGCATGGTGAAAATGATGTTTGAGTTGGTTTTGATAGATCTTCAAGTGGTATCTAATAGCGTACATGAACTATAATAAAATTAGTGTTTGCTGGAAGCATAAGACATAAGCTGGCTGAACTCTATGGTTCTTCAGGGATATATTTGAGTGACTAGATTTGGTAGCTTGAAGCTGGGGATACAAGAGAACTGATAATAGTTAATGCTTAAATGATTGCTAACTACGTTCCTGGCATTGTACCTAAGTACTTAATACCCCAATTATTTCATTTAATCCTTACAACAACTGTATTAGATAGAAACTTTTATTCCCATTTTATAGACAAAGAAACTGAGGCCTACAAAAGTAGCCTGATTGCAGCCACCCAGCTAGTAAGTGGTGCAGGTAGAAGTCAGTACCCAGGATTTCTGACTTCACAGCTAAACTCTGAACCACTGTTGTAGTTATTCTTGTTAGTGAACCAGGAATAGTAGAAGGAGTTGAGGTTGTTTCATATGCAGGATGGAAACTAGCCTTTAACCAGAGAGGAAAATTACTTCAGTAAAAGGTCAGAATTAGCATAGGGCTAGCTGCTTATAAAGTTGGATTTTGGATGTGTCACAGAGAAAAATATATACAGAGTATAATATTTTAAAATTTAGGACAAAAATTGTCTTTTTAAATCTTTTAGAAGTCTTTAAAAGTATTCTTAAAAGAGATTTGATTGCTTGTATGGATTTGCATGAAGACAGACTACTTGGGTTTTGATCTTGGGTCCTTTCCCTGCTGGTTATATGACCTTTTCAAGTTACACTCTCTGTTTTCTTACCTGTAAAATGGAGATAATAATAGCTTCTTTCTCATAAGGTTGTTGAGTATTAAATTTATTTCATATATGGAAAGCACTTGGAATAGTACGAAATGCCATGTAAGGTTGAGTGATATTATTATTATTTGTGTCATACTCTGCACTCCAGCTATTTGTAAACACTTTCAGTAATGGAAGAGTAATTCTACTTTTTACTCCTAATTCTACTCTATCTGTCCTCATTCTTGTTTTTCATTTAGTTCTTCTTTCTCAATTACTCACAATTTATATCTTTTTTATGTTTTTTGTGTCTCTGTAAGTGAACTTCAACCTTTTTTGGAATAAGTGAGGGTATGCATAGATGTGTACATACATAAATGCATCTTTGTTCTTGGACTTTAGCATTATTAGTGCGTGGATTTTGTCTTGTCTACTTATCCCTAGTGCCTAGAACAATAAGTGGAAGACAAGTCTTTAATAAATAAAATATTTGTTGAACGGATGACTTCAGATTTTTCAGGCATTTTGTATATGGCTATAATTTTCTTCCTAATTCTTCCTTTCTCTAGACCAAAAGGATATTCAGTTTGTCAGTTTTTCTCCAAGAATGATGCTTAGAACTGAATATAATAATTTATGTGTGATTTGATCAACAGCAAATAAAAGGAGTATCATCTGTATGATTTCTTATATTGTATGTGTATTTGTCTATTGCTGTACTTAAAAGTGGAGCCCTGCTGGTGCAGCGGTTAAGAGCTTGGCTGCTAACCAAAAGGTTGGCAGTTCTAATCCACCAGCTACTCCTTGGAAACCTTATGGGGCAGTGCTGCTCTGTCCTGTAGGGTTGCTGTGAATTGGAACTGACTCGATGGCAACGGGTTTGATACTTAAAGTAGCATGTGGTGCAGTCAACTTTTGACTCATTTGGTATAAAATCATTAATCACATATGTTGCCATTAAACCAAGTCTCCTTACTCTGTCACATTTGTGCTTTTTTTTTGTAAAGGCTATTACAAGACTTTACATGTTGCTGTATTAACCTTATTTTTTTAAGATTCATTACATCATGTCTACATTGCCTGTTAGGTTGTGCTGTCATCAGTTCCATATTTCTCCGTCTATACATGGAGGTTAGAAACTAGCTATTCTTTTTCTATTACATCGCTTGTATCTGACAGTCTAGTAAAATCAAAAGAGAAAATGAATTCCATGTCTTAAAATTTTACTCTTAATGAACTCAACATCTTTTAGTGATTATCACTTTTAAAGGCCAGACCCTTCTTTTTTAGTAATTTGTCCCGAATCCCACTCAGTTTTCTGTGCTCTTTGTTTATCTCCTTTTGCCGTTTTTTTTTTTTTTTTTAATTATTGTACTTTAGATGGTTTACAGAACAAACTAGCTTCTCATTAAACAATCAGTACATGTATTGTTCTGTGACATTGGTTGCCAACCCCACGTCATGTCAACACTCTCCCTTCTCGACCGTGGGTTCCCCATCACCAGCTTTCCTGTCCCCTCCTTCCTTCTAGTTCTTGTCCCGGGGCTGGTGTACCCATTTAGTCTCATTTTCTTTTATGGGGCTATCTGATCTTTGGCTGAAGGGTGAACCTCAGGAGTGACTTCAGTACTGAGCTAAAAGGGTGTCTGGGGGCCATACTCTTGGGGTTTCTCCAGTCTCTGTCAGGCCAGTAAGTCTGGTCTTTTTTTGTGAGTTAGAAGTTTGTTCTACATTTTTCTCCAGCTCTGACTGGGACCCTCTGCTGTGAGCCTGGTAGAGCAGTCAGTGGTGGTAGCTGGGCACCATCTAATTGTGCTGGACTCAGTCTGGTGGAGGCGGTGATAGTTGTGGTCCACTAGTCCTTTGGACTAATCTTTCCCTTGTATCTTGTTTTCTTCATTCTCCCTTGCTCCTGAAGGGGTGAGACCAGTGGAGTATCTTAGATGGCCGCTCACAGCTTTTAAGACCCCAGATGCTACTCACCAAGGTAGAATGTAGAGCATTTTCTTTATAAACTATGTTATGCCAATTGAGCTAGCTGTTCCCTGAGACCATGCTCCTCAAAGGTCTCACTCAGCCCAGTAATTCAGTCCCTCAGGGAGTTTTTTTTTTTTTTTTAATTAGAATTGTGTTTAGTAATTTCAGCTCTTATAACTCATTTTACGTATCTGAAACCCTCGAATCTTTGATCAAAATTAGTTTTTGACCAGAAGACTTGAATGTTTAAGAGTAGCTACGCTTTCTTGCTAGTTGAATTTTTGGTATTATTTTATTTTATTTTATTGTTATAAATAACCTTTCACATTAGCTGGTTATTGTTTCTCTCTGTTTACTTTCAGCTGGTTGGTGGAGAGTTTGACTTGGAGATGAACTTTATTATCCAGGATGCTGAGAGTATAACATGTATGACAGAGCTTTTGGAACACTGTGATGTAACATGTCAAGCAGAAATATGGAGCATGTTTACAGCCATCCTGCGGAAAAGTGTTCGGAATTTACAGACCAGCACAGAAGTTGGGCTGATTGAACAAGTATTGCTGAAAATGAGTGTTGTAGATGACATGATAGCAGGTATGGCTTATATGATAGGGGTGTCGTTTCAGTGATCGTAAAGAGTCACTTATTCTCTTTATGTTCAGTAAATAATACAGATTTATCCAAATAAATAAATAAATAGAAATGTATGGTAATCTTTATCCTTTATACTAAGGAAAAAGTTGAAGAATGGAAGACTTCTGGATTAATTGAATACCATTACTGATTTTGTTTTGCTAGGTTTTAGAAAATTTTAGTACTGTGGAGTAAGTGCTACACATCTGTCAGAAAAGTAGTTGTATGTAGTATTTCGTTAAACTTTTACATGATTAAAAGATCCTAACAGGGACTGCAGTTTTATAGTGTAGTATAATGAGCATCTTCAGCAGTATAACGGATGCTTCACCATACTCTCCTGGCTCCATGCCCTGCAGTCTGGCCTGTGGGGCTCATTGATGGGAGGTACTAAAAGCCTGAGGACTAACCTGGGGTGCCTTTCTGAAGAGTCCATTTCACTTTAGTATTTTGAGGGCATACTTTTGCATTAAACTAAACACAGGCATATTATGAAATAGAACATATACTTTGCATAAAATTTCAGGATAAAAATACTAATTTTTATGCTTGTTGCGGATCAGTTCAGGCAATAACTTTGAAATCTATCATTTTTCACTCTCAACCCTTATCCCCCTGTAAGCTTATTCTCCTTTGTGGTTAGATGCACTTCAGTCGAAACGCTGTGGAAGCATGGCCCCAGAGCAACAGCTGTTCCCAGAAAATAAGTTTACAGTTTGAAATGTTAATTCTCTTAAGCCATAAATCTTCAGCATCAGTATCTTTTGACATAAAAGAGTTTTGATAATTCTAAAAGTGCTAATTTAGCTCCTTAACAGTTTTCTGTTTTTTAAAAGTAGCTCAGATACTAGAAAATCCTCTGACATTTTGACTCGTGCATTTAATGAATTTTAATATTTATAGAAAAAACATTAAATGAGAAAATATAACGAAGAATGGATTAAAGAAGAATGTTTATTTAAATTGAAATAATATTAAAAATTTTTCTGTACAGAGTTTATTAAAATCATTTCTGATTGCTTTCAAGGGGGCATTTATCTGTTTAGAATGAGTTAGCATTCTATATATTGTACACTGGTGGTTAATGTGATAAAAAATAAGATTCCATCTTAAATTTCTGTAAAAGTCTTTTTAAAAAGATATGGTACCATATCTGTAAATTCTAGTAGTTATTTAAAAGGAATTTATATGTTATAAACTTATATGTGCATATGTTATGTAGTAGAACATCATGTGATCTTTAAATCTTCATGTCTGAGTTTGAGCCTTTAAATTTTTTTTTGGTAAGTGGCCAACACTTTATAGAGTACAGTTTGGAGAAGGAGCTAGAATTATAGGCATTGTAGTTTACTGGTATGTAATTTATGAACATTGAGATGTAGAGTGATAGTACCATGGAAGTTCTTATCTTGACCTTTTCTGTTATATACAACTCCTTAATTCTGTTATCCCTTCTTCTTAGTAATAATAATATTGATAACACTAAATTTTCACCTTTTGTTATTTTAAGCATTTTCCTCCAAAAGAGCCTGGTGATGAAAGGAGAAAAGAGAGCGAACATTAGAAAAAATACTTCTGCCTTACTTTTCATTATAGAAATTAAAATTTAGATAGCTTAGTAATGAAGAACCAAAGGCCCCACTAAACCAAAACCCATTGCTGTAGAGTTGATTGCGACTCCCAGCGACCCTATACGACAGAGTAGAACTGCCCTATAGGGTTTCCAAGCCTTTAATCTTTATGGAAGCAGACTGCCACATCTTTCTCCTGTGGAGGGAAAACCTCTTGGTTATCAGCTGAGCACTTTAACCACTGTGCCACCAGGGCTCCTGGAAGTCCCCACTGTTGTTGTTAGTTGCTGACTCATAGCGACTCTGTACAACAGAACGAAACATCGCCCAGTCCTGTGCCATCCTCACAATCGTGCTTGAGCCACTGTTGCAGCCATTGTGTCAGTCTGTCTCATGGAGGGTCTTTCTCTTTTTCACTGACCCTCTACTTTACCACACATGGTGTCCTTCTCCAGGGACTGAACCTTCCTGATAACTTGTCCAAAGTACGTGAGACGAAGTCTCGTCGTCCTTGCTTCTAAGGGGCATTCTGGGTGTACTTTTGCCAAGACAGAAGGCCCCACTAGTCACTGCTAATGTTTCATTGCTGGAAATGGTACAGCATGTTAAGTTCGTTGTCGGGTGCCATCGAGTAGATTCCAACTCATCGCGACTCCACGTGACAGAGTAGAGCAGCCCCATAAGGTTTCCTAGGGTGTAATTTCTACAGCAGCAGATCACCAGAGCAGATCCTGCAGAGCCGCTGATGGGTGTGAACCGCTGACCTGTTGGTTAGCAGCTGAGCACTTAACCATGGTACCACCAGGGTGCCTTTGTTAGTTTAAAGAGATCCTTTTCATTTAGTAATGTGAAAAACATCACTAGAATTTGGTTAAATGAATATAGTAAAATGACCAAAGGATTTTTAGCTAGTTCATATTATGAATTTTTTAAAAACAATCTTGTTTTCCTATAAAAGAAAACTTGCTATAATATAATTAAACTGCACTGCTTGGTTATGTTATATGTACAATAAATAGGAAATTTTTCTTTAAATACTAATGTAAGAAGTCACTTCTTTGTAGCATACGTAGGTGATGGGTAAGGGTCTGTGAATAGAAGTTCAATTAAAAAAAAATTGTAGGTCAACCTTTAAGGAGTCATTTGATGAACTCAAGCTGCCAGTACAGCTAGTTGCTTCAGAATGCATCATATTAATTCAGGGTTTTTAAAAGTACTTGATTTTTTTTTTCCTAGAATTTTTTCTTAGAAACAGACCTCTAGCTAATATGTAGCAATTATGAAAATGTATGTTACTTGAATGTGGAAACACTTTATTTCATTAACATGCTCTCTTTCAAAAAAATGGCATATCCATTGTCACAATTTTTATCATAGAAATTGCTTACTTGTTTTGGCTTTAGGAAAGAATGAATTACTTATTTATTGATGAAAATAGCCATACTAAATTTCTGTTTTTAGAATACATAAATAATAAATATTTTTAAAAGTGTCAAATTTCAGTTATTAATCTGTGATATTGGATAATATACCTTATATGTCAGTAACTAATTATTTCATTTTATCCTAAACTAAATTTTTTATTAATTGATGATAAACTGTTTAGAGTATGTGTGTGTATTGTTTTGTAATAGCTTGTATAGCATCTTGAATTCTTAGAAAGTACTTTAGAATTCTGAAAAGAATGATTGACAGAGGCACTACTCACAGTGTCAAGAGATCAGAAAGTTATCAGTGACAAGAAAATTAGATGTATAATTTCTCTCATTATTTGGTGAGCTGGTGTGTCTCTTATGCACATAAACATATGTATTAACATAATGGATATCACTAGTAATGCATTTAAATTACACTTTGACTTACAGACTAGTAGGTAAGAAAGAGGACTTTGGGCTATATTGCTTAGGTTTGAATCATGACTCTCCCACTTAGTAGATATGTGTTCTTGGGCAATGTGATTAAGTTATCTATGCCCCAATTTCCTCATTTTAAAAGGGGATAATAACAGTGCCTACTTCATAGGCTTGTTATGAGGATTAGTGAAATTAATGTATGTAAACCACTTGGAATAATGCCAGGCATGACTTAAGTGCTCAAACATTATTGTAGTAGGCCAAGGAATATTTCAAGAATATATTTTATTAAGAATAGATAATTCTGAAATAAAATATGATCAACCCTCACTTTTTAATTTGAAAATAACCAGTTTACCATGTTAAATCTTTGTACCTTTGCATAATTTTGCCTCCTTTTCTCTACTTTTAGCAGATGTATATAAATCTGGGAATATATGAAATTTATTTTAAGTATTTGCTAAGAAAGCTTAATTGGAATGGCATAACTAATAGGGAAATTATATAATTCAAATAAAACATTTTTGGTTATCTGATGACTTAGTAACTGTTATCTCTTTATTAGATTGTTTATTCATTAGGACATTAGCTATATTTTAGGCATCTATCTATATATATTTAGAAACGACAATCTACAGTTTTTGCTCTTTCAAAAAGTATACTACCTTGACAGATGGCAACTTATGACTAGAGTTCAGAATAACTTTATTTTCCTTTGAAGATCTTCTAGTTGATATGTTGGGGGTTCTTGCCAGCTACAGCATCACTGTCAAGGAGTTGAAGCTCTTGTTCAGCATGCTTCGAGGAGAAAGTGGAATCTGGGTAAGCCATGGTCAGAGGGGATCAGTATCAGTGCTTTAGTACTTAGTGTTCAACAGCTTGTCTCTAGAGGACCATAAACTTGAATTTTAAATGGAAATTGAATGTTCCTCTTAAATAGTTTGGTAAATGATTTAAAATTAATTTTCCCTTTTGTTAGAAAACATTCCAGTGACTAACATGCTATATTAAGTATCATTGCTAAATTTGTACAGTGACATTTCTTTGTTTTATTGTTTCCTCAGCCAAGACATGCAGTAAAATTATTATCAGTTCTTAATCAGATGCCACAAAGACACGGTCCTGATACTTTTTTCAATTTCCCTGGTTGTAGTGCTGCGGTAAGTTTTAAATACATGTTTATTTTTATTTTTATAATTTTTAAGTCAGGTCTATTAAGGAATAATTTGCATAGAATAAAATTCACCAATTTTAAAAGTACAATTTGATGAGTTTTCACAATGAATACCACGACAATCATGATACAAAACATTTTCATCACTTCCCAAAATCCCCTGTGTGATTTACTGCCAGTCATCTTTGCCCAGCTGTGGTCCCTGGCAACCTCTGGTTTCTTTTGTGTTTCTAGAGTTTTACCTTTTCTAGAATTTCATAAACTACAGTCATACAGTATGTAGTCTTTCGTGTCAGGCTTCTTTCACTTACCATAATGCTTGTGAGATCGTTTATGTTGTAGCTTATACCCATAGTTTGTTGTGTTCATTTTTATTCTGAGTAGTATTGCATTTTAGGGATATATCACAATTTAGCCATTCACTAGTTGATGTTTTCTAGTGTTTGGCTATTGTGAAAAAAACTCTTATGAACTTTTTTGTTTTTTGGTGGTGGTATATTAAAATTTATTTTACTTTTTAAGTCATGTTTATTGAGATGTAATGCTATGAATATTTGAGTACAGGTCTTCCTGAGGGGGCATAGCAGAAAGTTTCCTTATTTGTTGGGTAAATACCTAAGAATGAGACTGCTCAGTTTTGTGGTAAGTGTATGTTTGACTTCATGAGAAGCTGCCAAATTCTTTTCCAAAGTGGAGGTACCATTTTGGATTCCCATGAGCAGTGTATGAGCCTCCAAGTTACTCCACATCTTTGACAAAGTTGGTATTGTCAGCCTTTTAATTTGAGGCATTTAAATGGTTATACAATGGTACGCCCATTGTAGTTTTAATTTACATTTCCCTCATGGCTGATGATGTTGGACATTTTTTCATGTGTTTGTGGGGCACACTTGCGTCTTCTATTGTGATGTTTGTGTTCATATCTTCTGTTCCTTTATAAAACATTGAGTTGTTTGCCTTACTTCCTAAGAATTCCTTATGTATTTGTGATGTTCCTTTATCCAATATGTATTTTCCACATTTTCCCCAATATATGACTTACTTTTGTATTTTCTTAACAGTATTTCTTGAAGTAGAAAAGATTTTTACTTTTGATGAAGTTTAATTAAAACTTTTTTAAAAAATATTTTATGCTTTTGTAGCCTAAGAAGTCAGTCTAAATCAGGGTCACAATTTTTTTTCTCTTTTTCTTTAAGAAACTCTACAGTTCTAGCTCTTACACTTACATCTGTGATCCCTTTTGTCCATGTGTATGTGTGTGCGTCTGTGTTTTGGTATATAAATGCATAATTGTTCCATTACCATTTGTTGAGGAGACAATCCTTTCCACTTTGGATTGCCGTGGCACCTTTCTTGAAAATTAATTGACCACGGTTATGTGGGTCAATTTCTGGACTCTCTGTTCAGCCCTGTATTTTTATCTTTAATCCAGTATCACAGTATCTTTATTATTATAGCTTTATAGTAGTTTTTAAAATCAGGTATAATAAGTACTCCAACTTTGTTCTTCATCTTTATGAAGAACATAAAATATTTTAGTTTTTCTAGGTTATTTGCATTTCCATATAGATTATTGAATCAACTTGTCAAACTTTATAAAAAGCCTTTTGTGATTTTGATTGTGTTGTGTTAAATCTGTTGAACCATTTGAAGAGAGTAGATATGTTAACATTATTGAATCTTCCAATTCATGAACATGGTATATTTCTCCCTTTAGTTTTCCGTTTAGTTTTGCGCTACATTTGTTAAATTTATTCCCAAACATTCCATAATGTGTGTTGCTAGTATATATAAATGCATTTGATTTTTGTATATTGACTTTGTATTCTGAGATGATGCTAAACTCACTAGTCCTAGCAGATTTTTAGTAGATCCCTTAGAATTTTTTACAGAGATAATAATTTTATCTGTGAATAAAACCAGTTTTACTTCTTCTTTTACAATCTGCTTGCCCTTTTATTTCTTTTTTATTGCCTTTTTTCATTGGCTCGGACCAATATTGAATAAAAGTAACATCTCTTACTTGTTCTCAACCTTGGTGGGAAAGTGTTAAGTATTTCACCATTAAGTGTACTTTTGGTATCAGGTTTTTGGACATGTCCTTTGTCAGGGTGGAAATCCTGGTGATGCAGTCGTTAAGAGCTACAGCTGCTGACCTTTTTGAATCCACCAGCCACTCCTTGGAAACCCTATGGGACAGTTCTAGTCTGCCCTCTAGGGTTGCTATGGTTTGGAATTGACTCGACGGCAACGGGTTTGTTTTTTTGGTTTTATCAGGTTGAGGAAATTCCTTTATTTCTAGTTTGTTGAGAGTTTTTTCTTTTAATTATGAATAAGTGTTGAATTTTGTCAAATGTCTTTCCTGATTTTATTGAAATGATCATATAATTTTTTCTTTTAGTCTTAATTAAACCTTCAGATACTATGAGATTTCCTATTTGCTTATTCATTAAAAACGTGTTTTCCTTTATGTTTTTCATAGTATTACACGAGCTGCTTAAAATGCTTATCTACTGATTCTAAAATCTGGACCAAAGTGGTGTGATTCTCCATCGATTACATTTTTTCTTGAGTGCAAGTCATATAGTACCATTTTTCTTATGCCCAGTAATTTTGGATTTTACTTTGGACATTGTGAGTTATATGTTGTGGTGGCTCTGGTGTCTGTTTCAGTCCTCTGAAGATTGTTGATTTTTTTCTTTTTTCTTTTTTTAAACAGGAATTTATGTTGGCTGACTTAAACTCCAACCTCTATCTTTTTTTTTCTTTTTCTGGTTGGCAGCATCTGGAATCTCTGATTAGTTCTTAAACTTTAACTGGACTGCTTAGTGTCAGCTTTGTGCATGTGTAGTTCAGGGGTCAACTGAGATCTGGGCAGAGTTTATATGTGGAGTGTAGGGCCGTTCTCTGTGATGCTCTCTTTCTTAGGAGTTTTCTTTAAATATGCCCTACTGTAGTCACTCCACGGAGCTCTGGTGGCTCAGTGATTAAAGTGATTGACTGCCAAGTGAAAGGTCAGCAGTGTGAAACTGCCAGCAGCTCCGTGGGAGAAAGATATGGCAGTCTGCTTCCATGAGGATTTACAGCCTTGGAAACCCTAAGGGGGTGCTATGAGTCGAAACTGACTCGACAGCAATGGGTTTTTGGTTGGGTAGTCACCCCAAACTGTCTTCTGCTTCTTCACAGCAGTAAAATAATGGATTTTTATCTAAGTTTTAACCACCTAGCGTGGTGGTGACTTGGGCCTGACGTTAGGCCAAGAGCAATAAAATACGGGAAACCCACCTTGCATCCTTCACTTCTCCCAAGGAAAGACTTCCCTGCATTTTTGTTTGCTTTTGGTTGCTGCCCAGAGCTTCCGGATGGTTTTTTGTTCGTTTAATTATCTCGACTTTGTGATGTCCGTTTATTTGGGAGGGTTGGTCTTAAACACGAATTACTCCTCCATTATCGGAGGCTATAACTAGTACCTAATTTTAATCATGAGATGAAGATGGGAAGTTTAGGATTTGCAACTGGGCGGTTGGTTCCAGTGTCAGGATCCAGTGAGACAAAGAAGTTAGACGCCAAGCACTCTTCAGTTCTAGTGTTGACCCTTTGCCTTTTAGTCTCTTCCTGAAGTTGAGGTATTTTGGTATGCTCAGACCTTCCTCATCACATTTCTTACTCTTCTTGTTTCACCGTTGGTATAGATGTGTTGGCACTTTACACGTGTATAATTTTTGCCAAAGAAGGGTTGGTCGTGATTTCTTGTTTCCTTTTCTTTACTGTGGCGGACTAGCCCCTTAATGTTTCTTGACTCTCTTGTATGTAAAGCAGTAACACTTGGTTATGGGATAGGGTTACTGCGAGCCTCTGATGAAATCATATACCAGTTAAGCAGTATAAATGGTAAATATCATGTAGAGATTTGTGGCTCTTTGGTTATTACTCTACGTCAGTATCCTGGCAGTATTCTATTTCATCAACTATTCTCCCCAATGGTATAATTTTTCCTTGCTTTTTTTATTGTAGCAACTTATATAACAAAACATTTGCCATTTCAACATTCTTCACATGTACAATTCAGTGACATTAATTATGTTCATCATCTTGTTCAACCATCACCACTATCCATTTCCAGACTTTTCCCTCACCCTTAACAGAAGCTCAGTGTCCCCTCAGCCATAGATTCCACTTGCGCTCTCCTTCTCACCAGACCCTGGTGAACAGTAATAAACTTTGGTCACTATATACTTACCTATTCTAGATGTTTCACACAAGTGCAATCATAAAATATTTGTCCTTTTCTGGCTGACTTATCACTCAGCATAATATTTTCATGGTTCATCCATGTTGTAGAATGTATCAGAACTTCATTTCTCTTGATGGCTGAGTAATATTCCATTGTACGTATGTACTACATTCTATTTATCCATTTATCTGTTGATGTACATTTAGGAAGTTTCCACCTTTGGGCTATTGTAAATAGTGCTGCAGTGAACACAGATATGGTAGTATCAGTTCATGTTCCTGCTTTCAATTCTTTTTGGGTATATACCTAGGTGTGGAATTGCTGGGTCATATGGTAATTGTGTTTAACTTTTTGAGGAACTGCCAAACTTGTTTTCTACTTCCCTTAACTGTTTGTCTGAATCTTTTTTCAATTATAATTCCCACCAGTTGCAAAACAATAAGAAAGTTAAAAATGTAGTTTCCAGATGAAAATTAACTATTTTACATAGCAAATTGTCAGAGTAGAACACATACGAAGTGTATATTGTGGTATTTCCCTGAGCAAACACTGACACAGTACTCAAGGAGGCAAGATCTCTCTGATGCAGTAGTTCTGTTTACATATACAGTGACACCCAAGAGAGCAGGAACCAGGATTGCCTGGTTTTTCCAGATCTGGCAAATTTTCTGCCTTTGACAGGGTGCAGTCTTACCACTTTTCTGTCACTGTTCAGTGGAAAATATTTGAGTTTCCCTTCCGTGACAGGTTTCTGCCTTACACAGCTCTGGCTTTCGAAGCTTTTACCATATAGCTTTTAAAAATACATTTTGCAAAACTGCTGCTGATCTGACATCTGGTATATCTCAGTGGGAAAGGAGACTGATGTGTGTTGACAGAAATGTAAACAAGCTGCTGTCTTGTTTATGGAATCAACCAAATTTAGCTAGCAAAATTATGAATGTTTTCTAGCAATATGCAATGCATATACACATACATGCACACACACATGTGTGTATGTATATATATACATATATAAATACATGTAGATAACTTTATTCATAAGTTGTTAGTAGTGTATGTCTGAATTATTTTTGTTCCTGGGATTTTGTTGGACTTTTACAATCTACACTCCTTTGCCTGATTTCCCTTGAGTCATTCATTTCCTGGAAGGGTAGTTTGAATCAAGAATATATTTATGGAGAGTAGAAAGCAGGGAAAGAACTAGAACTTTTTACAACTGTTATTTAACTCACACAAACTATATAGGACAGACGTTATTATTTCTGTTATACAGTTGAGAAAACTGAACCTCAATAATGTAACATTGCTCGAGATCATAAAGCAGAATCACTGCTGGAGCATAACTTTGCCTGCCCTCAGCACAGTGGCTACTTCTTTTCAGGCACGTTACTTCTGCTATTGAACTGCTAAAATCTAGATAGGAGCCCATTCTGAAATCTTACCATTAGGGTGTTTGATAATCTGCTTCTGGGTGAGTAAGATGCAGCCACATTTTAGTAGCAATAAGAGGGGACATACTGTTTGGACCACTGCCAACACAGTGCCTTTGGTTGACTAAAATTGTGACAACTCTTTCTTCTCCTCAGAAATAACCGTATACGTTAGGCCTTGTGAGTTGTATTTTATATCGTGAAGATCCCACCCTGTGCTCTGTGCTGCCTCTATTTGAGCAATTTGATAACATTTGCTTATTTGGGGAACTAATTGAAGTCTACAGAGTGATTCATGTAAAGATGAATGACAAATGTAAGGGTTTTTTTTTTTTTTTTTTAACATACTTTAAGACTTTATGGATATACTATTTAGATTTGCCTTTTATGATTATGATATATTTCATGAACCTGCTTAATTAAGAAATAGTGCACTTTTCTATGGAATATTTCAGTAAAAGTGCACCATTTGAACACTGAAATAATTTCTCTTGCAAATTATAATAGAAAAGAACATAAATTTGGAGTTCGCTCCAACTGAGAGTATCTGAGTAATGGAGGAAATGTGAAGATAATTTAAATCCAAAGTTAAAAAGATAATCCAGAGCCATATCATTAACAGCATGGGATGAGAAGGAACTCTAAGGAACCTAGGGAGTGGGTGATGAGAACAGGCAAGAATGGTTTGGGAGTGAATGAGGCTGGGTTTACTGTGCAGGGTTAGCTTCTGTGCATTGAGTAAGGGGGATGTGTGCAGGAGTTAAAAGTGTCGGAAAAGGTTAAGTATGCAATGTACATTGTGTGGTGCGCTCTGGTCAGGGAGATACTTAGGATCAGGAGGTTGAGGAGTACCCTCCAAAAGTGGAAGTTTATTAAGTGTAGTTTGGTTTAGTGAAACTCATGAAGGTGTTAAGAAGTGGTAAAATTGGCAAGAGTTGAATTTCACTAGCAAAGAAACAATAAATGAGGTTAACTATTTCCTATTTAAAAAATCAAAATTAGCTATGTTTGACAATTATAGAGCCTGAACTAATTGCTTAAACATTAAAATCTGAAAAGATGTTTATTTGGGAATTTTTTATTCATTTTTAGAGTTTCATCCTTCATTTGAAATTATGTGTGTGTGTATGTTTCTGTGTGTGTGTCTTTTTTTACAGCAAGCGCTTATAAATCCATGGTTACTTTGAGATTATTTGTTGACCACAGATTGAGTGTTTTCTATGTCATAGATCACAGTGCTGAGAGTGTAAATTATATTCCTGACTCTTGAAGAACTCTAATGGATAAAAACCCACCCATTGCCATCAAGTCAGTTCTGACTCACAGCAACCTCATATGACAGAGCAGGACCGCCCCATAGGGTCTGGAAGGCTGTAATCTTTACAGAAGCAGACTGTCACATCTTTCTCCTACAGAGTGGGTGGTGGGTTTGAACCTCCGACCTTTTGTTTAGTAAGCAAGCTTAGATCGCCAGGTCTTTCTCCCACAGAACCGCTGGGTGGATTTGAACCTCCTACTTTTTGGTTATCAGCCTAAACGCTTAACCACTGCACCATCGGGGCTCCTTCTCTAATGGGTAGACAGATGCAAAAATAACTTGTTAAACAATAAGAGTTACAAGTGCTTTAGTGGGTTTAGGTACTGAGTGCTATGGGAAAACAGTGAAAAGAGAAATTAAGATGGGGTGAAGTCTAGGAAAGCGTCACAGAAGAGGAACATATTAGCCTGGTCTGAGGGAGGGAACACGGGGAGCTTACTGGAGGGAGAAGTTTTTTGAGCAGAGGCAGTGTCCCGTACAAGAGAGGGGAGCTGCAAAAGAAGAGTGAACAACAAGTCTAAAAGAACAGCTGAGCTATTTAGGAGTACTTTGGGAAGTAGGGTAAGAGTAGAATTGACAGGTTTGTTGGAGCCGTAGTATGTTTGGGGAGTCTTGTATAACCTGAAGAAATTTGAATTTTATTCTGTATGCTAAGGATTTTTAAATATGGAAGCTACTTGGTTAGATTTGAGAAAGATGAAGGATTTGTGCAGGGAACAAAATCACTTATAAAATCAAAATGGATAATTATCTCTTACGTGTAGATATTGTGGATATCTCCTCGGAAAATAAGTATATCCACTCAGATGTTTCTTGAAATCAAGTAATCGACCACTTTCACATATATTCCTTAGGATGGCTGGATTTTATTTGACTGCTGTTATATTATCCGTTTCCTGATGAGTGGATCTGAATCATTTTTAGTCATAAATTTCAATGTTTAAGGTTATGACTGATACACTGATACATCTCATGCCTTCCCCTCTTTTGTTTCAATATTGTGAGCACTATGAGCTTCATCTCTTAATGTTCTTATTTTTTCAGTATTGATTCTGTTAACATTCTGTAGCATAGTTGTTTTTGGCTTTTAAACATTCAACCTCCTCTAATCAAATGAAGTGTTACTGAAAACCTAACATAAACCTTAGAAAACTGAAAACACTGAGGTGTATGTATGAGGAATTATGTGTTGGTAAAACTGCAGGGGGTTTTCTTGTAGTAAAGTATGAAAACCAGCATGTAACCTAGAGGTGAAACTTAATTCACTGAGTTTTGAAAATACAACACTTCTGTGTCAATGAATAATATTTATAGATTACTTTAATAGGTTAATATTTTCTATTTTATATATTTGATCAAGATTTTCTGATATTTATACTTTGATTTTTTTTAAAAATTTTTTCCCATACGAAAATTTATAGATACATTGTTATGTGACTCTAATTCCTCTTCCCGTACTGCGACAGCACACTCCTCCTTTCCATTCCTGATTGGCTATGTCCATTCAGCCAGCTCCTAACCCTCTCTGCCTTCCCAGCTCACCTCCAGACAGAAGCTGCCCATTTAGTCTCTTGTACCTACTTGAGCTAAGAGGCATACTCCTCACAAGTATCACTTTATGTCCCACAGTCCAGTCCAATCCCTGTCTGAAGAGCTGGCCTCAGAAATTGTTTTAGTTCTGGGCTGATAGAGAATCCAGGGACCATGCTTTCTGGGATTCCTCCAGTCTCAGTCAGACCATTAAGTCTGGTCTTCTTACTAGAATTTGAGTTCTGCACCCCACGTTTCTTGCTCCGTCCGGGACTCTCTGTTGTGTTCCCTGTCAGGGCGGTCATTGGTGGTGGCCGGGCACCATCTAGTTCTTCTGGTCTCAGGCTGATGAAGTCTCTGGTTTTTATGTGGCCCTTTCTGTCTCTTGGGAGAATACTTTCTGTGTGTCTTTGGTGTTCTTTATTCTCGTTTACTCCAGGTAGTTTGGACCAATGGATGCATCTTAGATGCCTGCTTGTAAGCTTTTAAGACCCCAGACGCCACTCACCAAAGCAGAATGCAGAACATTTTCTTAATAAGCTTTGTTATGCCAGTTGACCTAGATGTCCCCTGAAAGCATGGTCCTCAGACCCCTACCCCCACCACTCTGTCCCTCAAAGTGTTTGATTGTATTCAGAAAACTTCTTAGCTTTGGTTTAGTCCAGTTATGCTGACTTCCCCTGTAGTGTGTGCTGTCCTTCCCTTCACCTAAGATAATTCTTATCTACTATCTAGTTAGTAAATAACCCTCCCTCTCCCTCCCAACCCTCGTAACCATCAAAGAATGTTTTCTTCTGTGTTTAAACCTTTTCCTGAGTTCTTATAATAATGGTCTTATACAATATTTGTCCTTCTGTGACTGACTAAATTCACTCAGCATAATGACCTCCAGCTTCTTCCATGTTACAAGATGTTTCACGGCTTCATCGTTGTTCTTGATCATTGCGTAGTATTCCGTTGTGTGGATATACCATAATATGTTTATCCATTTGTCTGTTGATGGACACCTAGGTTGTTTCCATCTTTTTGCTATTGTGAACAGTGCTGCAATGAACATGGGTGTGCATATATCTATGTGACAGCTCTTATTTCTCTAGGGTATATTCCAAGGAGCGGGATAGCTGGATCGTATGGTACTTCTATTTCTTGCTTTTTAAGGAAGTGCCAAATCGATTTCCAAAGTGGTTGTAGCATTTTACATTCCCATCTATTGTTTTTTAATATGTAAAAACCGTATTTGACCTTAGTTACTATTGGTTTCCTTTAACTGATACTTTTGTATCTTTTTCCATTTCTTTGTAGGCAATTGCATTGCCTCCTATTGCAAAGTGGCCTTATCAGAATGGCTTCACTCTAAACACTTGGTTTCGTATGGATCCATTAAATAACATTAATGTTGATAAGGATAAACCTTATCTATACTGGTAAGTGATATCTTTAATTCTAGGATTTTTGTTTTTAATTACTTCAATTTTGCAAAGATAGTATCAAGGTGACATATTAAATAGAATATATATGTGTGTATATATACATGTATATATCTGTGTGTATATATACACATACACACATACTTATATGTATATATACTATGAAGACACAGTTAGATCAAGTTTTCTTTTGATTGTAAACAGCCTGCCTCACTATTTTTTTCAGTTGCAGCCTAAGAGTCAGGTCTTACAGACCTTTCTCTTTCTTGTCTGCTTCAGTATAGATCAGTCATGGGTCCTTAGTGAAGACTGCTAGTCTCTGATCAAGGGGAGGAAAAAGCTGTATTCGTGCCAGATTTCATTCACGCACTGTGGTCTGTGGTCAGCTGAGATCTGCTCTTAAAAATGTTAATACCATTTGAGAAATTATAATCAAGTAAGATGAGTTATTGGTAGACAAGTAGCAGAATGGATTGGTTGTAATGACTGAGAGCATGGTAATTTTAGTATTCCAATACTAG